TTCTACCACACCCCTGCAGCCTGCTTTCTACCACACCCCTGCAGCCTGCTTTCTACCACACCCCTGCAGCCTGCTTTCTACCACACCCCTGCAGCCTGCTTTCTACCACATTCCTGCACTAAGAAGCAAGCTCCTTGGCTCTGCGAAGGTTTAGCCTGAAACAAAGAAGGCTCCTGGGGAACTCACTGGCTACTTTTCAATAGTACATGAGATTAAAGGAACTGAGCAGCTGGTTCTCCATGTCTGTATAGAAATGAGGATGGTGAAATGGACTTGCATTCAGGCAGGAGAGATGTCCATCAGCCGCAAGGAGGAATGGTGCCCCCTGATCACACGTGGTATCGGACCTGCCTGTCCATCTATTTTCCCTTCTTGACTTGAGGTCAGGGCTGTGTCTCATTCATCTCTCTCCTCAGGATGTGGCACAAAGAAGGTGTTGAATAAATACTGGATGAAGGAAATGGTGTTGACAGGGTAGCAAAACAGGGAAGTAGGCTACAGGAAGAGGCTGCAATGCCGCCATCCTGGAGACCCTGATAGAGAGAAGTAAGTAGCCCCAGACACAGGGGGTCTGGACGTGCCCGTGTCAGAAGCCTAGGGTGGGATGAGAATATCTCTTAGGTGTTAGTTCTGTTTCTGAAGGAGTCAGAAGAAAACAAATACCTCTCATCAATTCCATTTGCACGAGTGGAGTTCCCAAACCTAGCCTGAAGTGAAGTGAGTGAGTCTGAGAGACTTCCTGGGGCACAGGGGGGTCTATAATGATTGCATCTGGAGTTTTGTAGATTTAATATAGCTAACAGGCATAGATCAGCACAGTCACATCTGTTAGAACCAGGAAGCGTGAAGCTGGTGTAGGCAGAAGGAACACGCTGGATGGAGGACATAATTATTGTGTATGTGCCTGTTAACATACCAGATGAGACAAGATCTAGAGGAGGGACCCTCAGCTAATGGTCTTCTTTAGATCCTATCAGATAAAAAGGAAATCTGGTACCTACAACTCTCCTGATATCAAGAAGCCCAAAGTCAAAAAAAGCAAACCCACTGCTGTCAAGTCGATTCCGACTCGTGGCAACCCCATAGACTCATAGTGACTCTATAGGACAAAGTAGAACTGCCCCATACGGTTTCGAAGGAGCGGCTAGTGGATTCGAACTGCTGACGTTTTGGTTAGTAGCCGTACTTCCTAACCACTGCACCACCAGGGCTCCATCAAGAAGCCCAAAGGCTATATCGGAAAACCAAACCAGTTGCCATTGTCGATTCCGACTCACAGCGACCCTACAGGACAGAGCAGAACTACCCCATAGGGTTTCCAAGGAGTGGCTGGTGGATTCGAACTGCTGACCTTTTGGTTAGCAGCCTGAGCTCTTAACCACTGCACCACCAGGGCCCCAAGGGGCTATAAATGATAGGAAAGATCTTCAGGCAAAATCAGGAAACTTATGGGATTGAGGGCCTGGGTATATGATAGTGCTGTTCTCTGAACTGCATACTTAAACTATTTCTACTCAGTGCAATGAATGGTAATTAAGCCATTAAACACGTGCTTCTTTCATTCATTTATTCAATAAGCATTTATTATGCACCTTCTATATGTCAGAAATCTACTGGACATTGGGTATAAAGGTGAATAAGCAAAATCTGTGCTGTCAGTGCTTCCCACCTAATGGAGGAAACAGATATAAAGCACAGCTGCAGCCTGAGGTCAAAAGGAGCCCTGGTGGCACAACAGTTAAGTAAGTACTCAGCTGCTAACCGAAAGGTTGGCAGTTCGAACCCACCCAGCAGCTTCATGTGGGAAAAAGGCCTACAGCCCAGAAAATCCAATAGGGCAGTTCTACTCTGACTCATGGGGTTGCTATGAGTTGAAATCGACTTGACGGCACCCAACAAGAACAACAGGAGAAGGTGCAGGGACAAGGAAGGTCTGATTTCGGTTTGTCTTTAAGATGGGAAAGATCAGACCCTATTTATATGCAGTGGGAAGAAAAGTCAGCATAGTAGCGGAGACTGAAGATTCAGGAATGTGGGACAACTGATGGCCCAAGGTTCAGGAGAGGCAAGATGGGGTGGAGAGGCAGGTGAAAGGTTAATCTTGGACAGGAGAAGGAGCCCAGGCCAAGTCTGGGGATGGGCATGTGTAAGGGACCCAATCTGTGGGTGGTGATTTTCCCTGGCACTGTTCAGCATTGCAGGGTTAAAATGAATAGGCATTGTTGGACTAATACAAAGGGTTTTTTCCAGGCTGTTTGCATAGACAAAAGAACAAGGGATTATGTGTTCCTAAAAAGTACTTGAAATGGTCACTTCTTGCCTTGACAAATGCAATTGTAACAGCTTAAACTTAAGTAGTACTCATATGTTCCAGGTACTAGTCTAAGGGTTTACGTGCATTAACTCATTCATCCTCATAACCACCCTAAGAGGTAGGTACTAGTATTATCCCCATTTGACAGAAACTGAGGCGTGTAGCTGGAAAGGTCAGAGCTGGGGCTTGAAGCCTGCCAGTCTGAGTCTAGGGTTGGTGCTTTTAACCGCGATACCACACTGCCTCCCAACAGGTTTCCTGCTTCCACTGTAAGTCCCACCTCCCCTGCTTCTGCCCTCTCTATCATCCTACCCTGCTTTATTTTCTTCACTGCATTTACACTCTCTAAAATCATCTTATTTGTTACTTGCTTGCATCCCTCACCCCAACTGTGAATGTGAGCTCCTTGCCCATGGGTGGCTTGTGATCTTGTTCGCAGTATCCCCAGCACCAGAAATGACCTTGGCACGTGGATCCTGGTGCCGTTGAGTCGATTCCAACTCACAGCAACCTCATGTGTGTCAGAATAAACTCTGCACCATGGAGTTTTCAATGGCTGATTTTTCAGAAGTAGATCGTCAGGTCTTTCTTCGGAGGCACCTCTGGGTGGACTCGAACCTCCAACCTTCAGGTTAGTTGCTGAGTTTGTTAACTGTTTGCACCACCCAGGGACTCCCAGGCAGACAGCAGGAACTTGATAAACATCTGTTGAATGCAGGAACTGAAACTAAAGCTAAGGCGCTAATAGGTTACCAAACCAACTCGCTGCTGTCGAGTTGATTCTGACTCATAGCAACCCCACAGGACAGAATAGAACTGCCCCACAGGGTTTCCAAGGAGC